CTGATTTTCTGCCGCGGTCAGTTCCGCGGTCGCGGTTTCGACCGCGTTTTTCATCCTGTTCCGTTAGGAATTTGGAAAAACGTAAACATGAAAGTTGTAGCCCTTTGAGTTAGCTTTCCAACCATATATTGTGGAGCCCAAATGTAGTTCTGAGCAAAAAGTTATGTGCATTTTACTAGACAGTGCGCAATATACCTACTCGAATCTTCGTTTTGTTGTTTTATCATCCGTTGATCCCCGAATACGATCCCGGCTTAATTCCTTGAGCTTTTACTCAGACTTCAAAGCTCCAAATCACTTGAATTCATTCCATAACATCTATATAGCTCGGAATCACTCCTACAAGGCATAAAACACACCGTTAGTGCAAAACACTAGCGATTAAAGCGCAAACTCAACTAAAGTGCAGTAAATTAGAGTGTAATAATCGACTAAAATACGCAATTATATCCTATCATCAACACCCCACACTTACACCATTGCTCGTCCTCGAGCAATCAAACTACACTTTTTTTTATAGACACGACCTTTTTAAATAATTCTCCTAACTCATCACACCAAGAGTATTTAAAATAGACTAAGCACAAAAGCGTAACATCTTCACCTCAAAATTTGACTCACAAGTACCACACGTTATTCACAACTCACCCACTTACTCTAATATAGAGGTCACTGACATTACCTTTCCTTCATGAATCAAGTGTCCTCACACAACAAAAGAGAGTAGTTCCACACAATAAAATTTAAGAACACTTAGGAACTCAAGATAGAAAGAATTCACTCACTCTCAGAAATAACATTCATATGCCACAAAAGATGCACCATAAGCTTGCCCGTAGTGTACTACTCCACTAATCGAGCTCATTCAATCTTGGATCAATTAGGACTTTATTTGGTTGTAATGTAGGCTACGGGACGGTTAGGATACATTTAGATATAAGAGTGACTACACCTCCCTAAGCACTTTAATACATACATTTTAACATTTAAACCCCATACTTATGTCAAACCAAAACTCCACCTTCACATCAATTTATATTACCCCATACTTCTGTAAGCACACTTACGTCAAGAGCCACCATTTATCAAGAATTTTTTTTTTCAACAATCCAACTATATTTTTTTTTTCAATTCAAGTGGCTCTTCCTTTTTCAAAACAGTGCACCTTTCTCCTTATTCAATTAGTTCCACTCAAAAGCCAAACCAACCACCCCACACTTTAACTTTTACAAAGTTCATAACAATTCAAGTGCTCATGAGAGGTGAAAAGGTTTAAATAGATGGTTAATTCAAACAAATGGGTAAGGCTTGTAATGTGGTTGCCAAAGAAAAAGGATTATAGGCTCAACGAGGTTAACTACGATACATAACAATTAGGTGGGTAAAATATACATATCTGGCTCAACAAGAAAACGCCTATATCACTTCCAAGACTGAACAAAACTACTATTTCGCTTTGCAAACACACGGGGCAAGTTCTAGGCATCAAATGCACTGCACAGAATAACACCTAAATCTTACACACACATGGCACATAACTCACTCAGGATTGGATTCATCAAGACACCCTAGGCAGAGCAGTTAAGCAAATTTAAGATCATATAATTTAAGGTACTTATACAAGAGTCAAAAATTGAGCCTAAGCGTCACAGCCAAAGTACTCACTATTCTCAAGGCATAACAAAGTCAAGAGATATTGATTCATTTCAAAACAAAACACAATGGCTCCTATTCCTTAAAAAAAAAAAACTAACTACACCCGGTTCAAATAAAACCCTTGGAAAAGAACCGTGGTTTAAAGAAAAACCAAGGGGTAATTGCTACACTACCTAAAACAAAACAAAAAATCTTTTTGGTATTTTCTTTAGACTTACTTCCCTCAAGAAAGCTGTCTAGAAGATCTGTCATCAGGAAAAGTCCAATCTTTTAAAAAAAAATTATTTAATTAAACGAACACAGCTAAAGTAGCATGAAAAGTCACCCAGATAATCTCCTCACCCCACACTTAAAATTGGGCATTGTCCCCAATGCACACCCATACATACAAGAGGGTAAAAGAAACTCCCTGGTAGGCCAAAGGCCGAAGCACTAGCAGTTCATGGGGTACTCAGACTTCTCCCAAGATTGGTCCTTCATGTGGGTACCTCACACTTAGTTCCAACCATTTGGTTTGCTGATGCATCCTTCCAATACCTTTGCTTTCCATGCTCCTAGAAAATAAAAAAATTGACACTACAAAAATAATACAATAAAAAATAAAATAAAAGAAAGCAATAAAGCTGGGTTGCCTCCCAACAAGCGCTTGATTTAACGTCGCGGCACGACGTGAATCACTTTCTGCCTCCACTTTGAACTTATGAATCGGACCCCAAGTTTTGATTCTGCTCTATGATCATGCTCCTAGGGTGGTGGAACGAATCTGACTGGCCCAATAAAGTAATGTAGCATTCTGCACTTCTTGGCCTTTATATGAGGTGTGTAATCCCGACTTTCTGGCAAGAAGAATTCCAGAATGTAAGCACTTTGTTCCTCATTCCTTGACTCCTCAAATGGCTCGGACGACTCTATTTCCATATCATCATCTAAACACAATGTGGAAAAATGCTTGGAGTGAGGACCAATGCGCTCAACTACATGAACATTGGGACTGTCTACATTCTCAACACTAATGATAATAGAGTCAACTAAATATGTATCCTCAATATCCTTGGTTGACTCTAGTATCTCTTCTACAACATCGACATCCTCAAAATCTAGTGTGATTGATTGTTGGTGTTCTACTCTAGCCTCCTCCTCTAGCTCATCAATTTTTGTATCTAATTCACGCTCTTCTTGGATACTATTCACAATATTGGCTTGTTGAGCATTAAAAACTTCAACCAGTTGACTCATGTGAACTTTCAAGTTGTGAATAGTTTCCTCCTGCCTTTCTATCCGCAGTAGTAATTTACTCTGTTGTTCCAAAATGCACTTTAACATATCTTCGAGCTTCTTTAGGTCAGCTTCCCTAGGTTCTTTGTTCCTATTAACTTCACCAGAAAAAGAAGAACCATCAAAGTAAGGGGTTGGGGGAAGGTAAGAAATATAAGCACAACCGTGAAAGTGACCATCTTGACCACCACACATATCACACACATTCCACACATAAGATTGAGTTGGTGCACAAAACTCGCTCTTAGGAATATTTTGATAATTTTGCCCTGGGTGGTTTCCTTCACAATATGCATAAGGAGGATCAAAAGTAAAATTACCAACAACAAAATTCTCATAATTCCATGATGTCATGTTTCTCAAATAAACAAATAAAACTAAAATAATAAAAAAATAAAAAAAAATCAAATAATAAAATAAAAGTTCAAACTTGAAACCTAGCAATATGTACACCTACAACTACACCGTTAGTTCCCCGGCAACGGCGTCAAATTTGATCACGCCAAACTATGCCTTATAAAAAGGACTAAGCGGTCGCCGCAAATATAATCTGGTTTACAAGTCCGGAGTCGAATCCCACAGAGAACTAAGGTTTAGCTATAGCTGTTCACTATCACCAAGAAGACAAGCTTGAACAATTTCTAACTTATAGATATTAAGATTCTTGTGTTTAACTACTTAACTAACAAATTAAAATAGTAAATTAACAACTAACGATACTGAGGGTTAGAGAAAAGATTAAGGAGGTCTAGAGTTATGATTTTCCCAATTGTCGGAATCCTTCCCGCTATGTCTTCTATAATTTCGCCTAAGTATTCTCTACCGATCATGAGCACTCTTATTACTGTAAATCTCTCCCGAGTAATTACGATAATTTGCTAGACGCACTCTCCCGAGCTACGCTAGCTGGCTTTTAATACAGCTCACTTCAGATCGCACCAAAGGCTTCGTTATCCCTAATCCCGCCTTTAAATCCCTCATATACTCTGGGAGTGATGTTGTTCAATAATTACCTAAATATGCACTCTCTCCCGAGTTATGCATACTAAATAGGCACAGCTAACTGAGAGCTCTTCAATCAACCAGAATATAAACGTATTTGAACAAATAGAGAAAAGCTATGGCTCAATTATATAAAAACATAACAAGAATTTATCCTACAAAAGGTTCTATCAGAACTCTAGATAACAAATTAGCTATTCATAATAGTATGTAAAACTACAATACTAAAAGTCATAACCAACAATGAAAAATAGGAAGAGGAAGGAAAAAACTCGTAGAAGAATTCTCCGCCTTGCTCCCAATGTGTTCTTGCCTCCTTAGGTCGAATCTATGTCCAAAATATGTCCCCGCTCCCTCAAAATAGGTTTAGGAACCCTTTTATACAAGTTGGAATTGTGTAGGGCCGAAATAAACTTGTCCCGGGCGAAATAGGATTTCTTTTTGACGCCTGGAGGGGCGCGGCCGCGGTCAAAACGCCGTAGGACCGCGGCCAGACAAGCTCTCTGATTTCTGTCGCGGTCAGTTCCGCGGTCGCGGTTTCGACTGCATTTTTCACCCTGTTCCATTTGGAATTTGGAAAACCGTAAAACATGAAAGTTGTAGCCCTTTGAATTAGCTTTCCAACCATATATTGTGGAGACCAAATTTAGTTCTGAGCAAAAAGTTATGTCTATTTTACTAGACAGTGCGCAATATGCCTCCTCATGTCTTCGTTCGTACTTAATTATCAAATTTGACCCCCTAACACGATCCCGGATTAATTCCTTGAGCTTTTACTCAGACTTCAAAGCTTCAAATCACTTAAATTCATTCCATAACATCTATATAGCTCGGAATCACACCTACAAGACATAAAACACACAATTAGTGCAAAACACTAGCGATTAAAGCGCAAACTCAATTAAAGTGCAGTAAATTCGAGTGTAATAAGCGACTAAAATATGCAATTATAGCCTATCATCAAAATACACTACACAGCTGAAGACAAAACTACAATATAACTACAATTACACTACGCAGCTGAAGACAAAACACATATTGTGAATGATTCTGTTCTTTATACTTACCGTGTTATTGATGACTTGTCCTGGGTGAGCAAGGGCATAAAACCAGTCCTTCTTATCCACCTTTTCACAACCAAAGTCTAACCAAGGCTTGATTTGTTTATCCTTTTTGGAGAAGTATTCTTTCCTCCTATAATAACAAAAAAATATCAAATAAAAAAAAATGACAGAATGAATTACATATTTAAAGTTCAAAAATGGTGAAATGAAAGTGTAAAATTAAGCATTCATACCTCTTAGATACTTTGTCACTACGAAGGTATAACCAGTTGGTTAACCTTTCTATCAAATCAGCATCTACATTTTCACCTATAACAGTTGTGAAAGGGTGCTTGAGGTACAAAAATTTAGGTCCGACAGAGGTGCTGCCTCCAGAACTATTCAGAGGTGTGAAAGGTGATCGTGCATGTTTCCCCGGTTGCCTGGTTCTACCCGGATGAATAGGGGTTGCTTCATCTGGTATGGGCTCGACATACATGACCAATTGTGTTAAGTTGTCTGGCAACTCAAAGTCATCCAATGTCAGACCTTTCTTGTCAATGCCTGAACCTTCAGGAACAACTTCATTCACAGTCACACCGTGAATTGGCGACTGTAGAACGTTATCTTCAATATCTGTTACATATAAAATAACATACTTAACAGCATTGTATAATTGTATAAGCAACAATTATCTATTCAAAAGTATATTATGATACTATACCTGCTTTTTCTACCTCAGCTCCTTCCTGAAATCCTGGTTCTTCCTCAACCATTGCTGGCACACCTCCAGGAGAAACTTCAGCTTCTGAAGATAAATGTAGATGTATGTAGTTATGCACAATATTGTAGATATAAAGTGAATATAATGAGCTTTTGATATTATACCTGCTTGTTGTGCCTCAGCTACTTCTTCAAATTCTGGTTCTTCCTCAACATGTGCTTGGAGATGTTCTGTTGAAACTTCAGCTTGAATGAATAATTTAAAAAATGAGAATTGTAGATATATGTGGGAATTTGTAGTTAAAGTGTGAATTATAAAATTTTTGCATTGTAACCTTATTGTAATGAAAGTATGATAGTATACCTGCTTTATATGCCCCAGCTGCTTCTTGAAAATCAGGATATAAGTCAAAATGTGCTTGAACATGTTCCGGAGAAATTGCAGCTGCAAAACATAGTGAAAAAGGGGTTAATATAATTAGATAATGCTTTCTTGAAGTTTGTAGATATGTCTGTAGGAATTCTGTAGATACCTGTATTGCTTGTGCTTGCATGCACTTGATCACCAATATTGAACTGAAATTGCTGGTTGTTCTCTCGTTGTTGTTGGTCATTATTTTTGGTTGAACTACCAGCAAACTATAATTTTTGGGTATGTTTGAGTATACTTGTTTCATATGTCATAATTAGTTTTAGTACAAAAATATATGTCAATTCTTACCTTTGACTCGTCCACATCGTACTTCCTGTTTATCACCTTCATAACACTCATCACAGAAACATCTATGAACTCTCGAAGGCTTGAGAGTTCCTCAAAAACAGCCTTACTAAATTCAGCTAACTTTCCATCAACCTAAAAATTAAATATATAAATAGTTGTTAATCTTATTCAAAGTGCTACAGTTCCACAATAATTTAACAAAGATTTGTGCAATACCAACAGGGCCTAATATAGAATTATACCACAAATTAACTACAATGTATAACATACAATAATTGTTATGGAATGAAGTTAAGTTGTAGCAAAAAATGTCAATATATTGTAGTTATTTATATTACCTGCTCAATCCCCTTTTCCAACTTCTTGAGCTTGCTAGTCACAGATTCAGTGTCCTCTTGACAATCTGTATGTTTTGGTTCAAATGTTGGAGAAGCATCAATTGGAACCTGTGATGATTGAGCACCATGTTCATCTTCATACTGAATCTTGTCTGGCAGATTAAGCACTCCAATCTCTTCTCCAGATTCAGTCATGCTTGTGAACTGAATGATGGAAATAACAGTTAGTTCAAGTAAATAAAAAGTAGATTAATTGTAGTTATTATGGAGGTAAATGTAGCATCATACAAAAGTGAAAAAATATACCTTGAGCCACTCAGGCTTGATCATCTTCTCATCAATTGCAGTTAACCAAATCTGGCCCTTTGTAGCTGACCATCTTAAAATGCGAGGTATAGATTCAGAACACCTCGTAGCAAGCTCTGTGCTGACGGACGAGCAACACTCATATAGCCACACTTGCAAGGCTAATGAGCATCCCCGTATCAGATAAGAATGTACATGGGGATTAAGACGATGTCGGACAGATTCAATAACCTGCTTGAAGGATTTGATACCCCATGGGTATGACTCAAAATTACCAGACTCTATCAGAAAGAACATAAACTTGTCTATGAAAGACACATGGTCTTTATCAGAAGGACAAACAAAAAATTTCAACAGATAAAGAATGCACAACCTCACTGCATCCTCATCGTTTGCCCAAACTTTATTTGTGACTACATTTTTCAAATGCCACTTTTCAACCCTTTGTTTGTTCGGAAAATAGGTAGTCATTAAATGGCTAACATAAGTGGAAGTGTAACCATAGTCTGAAAAATTATTCACACTATTTAGACTAGTAATCAACCCAAATTCTCTCAAGGAAAAATTCAATTTTTCACCCTTCAATAGTACTGAAAAATATGAGTCAGTAGACTTTGACAATTCATACTTCATCAGAAGATGAATTGCTTGGTTTTGCATACAGATTGTGGGGAGACCAAATAAGTAACCAAAATAAGTTTTTTGGAAAAGCTTTAAAGCATTTGGAGAGAGTAAAGCTTTTATCTGGCTAGGTATGCTCGGATCACACAAACTGTGGAATCTAAGCACACCATAATCAACATTTTGTGGTGCAAAGTAATGGCCATTCTGCAGAAAATAAAAAATTATTGAACATTAGTAGTTTGCATAAAAAAGAAGCAGTAATCTACATATAACTACATGATAACTACAAAATATAACTAAAAGAAGAACAGCCTACCCACACCTATAACTACAAAACAATACAGGACATCTACACATGTAAACATTATCTCAAAACAATAAGGAAGAAAAGGGTAACCACAGCTCTATAACAACAAAAATATAACAGTTAGTTCAAGTAACTCACAAAATGTAGATTAATTGTAGTTAGTATGAAGGTAAATGTAGCAGCATACAAAAGGTGAAAAATATACCTTATCTACAATTTACCCAGCAGCCTACAAAACAACTACAAAATAACTACATTTATGCACTGTCTAAAAATCACAATTACAATTAACCTTCAAAATTGAGACAAACAATCTACAAAATTTGGACAATTCCACATTTTACCAAAAAATACTTGAACAACAGATTTTTACAACCAAAATCACACTAAAAAGCTGTAAAGAAAAATAATTAGTGTTTACCTTTACCAAAATTTTTTTGTGAACCAATTTTGGTACTTTTTTGGAGGGTTCCTTCTTTTTTGATTTTGATGAAGAAGGAGAGACCTTGGGTTTTTTCACAGATGGAATTTTAGGGGAATCTTCAACAAAATCATCATCTACACACAACTCTTTCCCCTTTCGTTTGAGTTGTTTCTCGACTGGTTTATCACCTCCACCAGCATCAACATCGTGCAAATGCTTGCTTCTCATCCGCACGGATTTGTCTAGGAGATGAAATACTAGTAGTAGGTTCACTTGCATATGTCGATTTTGCGTTTTTAGGTGGTGATTTTGGTGTTAAAACACCCAAATCAAAGGATGGGATATCAGCTAATGTAGCTTTTGAAGCTTTTTTTTTGGGAGTGTTGATTTTTTTCATGATTTGGGACTTGAAAAAACAGATGCAACTTCAAAATAGGATTTTGTGAAATTAACTGGAGAAGAAAATTGTAGAATCGTGGGTAACTGATGGTAAACGTGGGTGAGAGGCGAGTATACAAAAATGGGGGAATTAACTAAAGGTAAAACGTGGGGGGTGTGGGGGGTGGGAGGAGAGAGAGGCGGGTAAACAAAAATGGGAGAATATACGCTCCTAAATTAACGCCTAATATAAATGAAGCATTAATTATACCCTCAATTTGAATTATGGTATATAAATGATAATTTGGTATGCTGAAATGTAATTAACACAATCCTTAAACATTGAGGGTAAGGTTTCATATATGATATACGAAGGTAAAAATCCCAAAAAATAACTCGTCTAATTATAAATAAGTAACCAACTTCTAAATATAAGGCCACGAAAGTAGCCACTTGATGTAAAATAACGCCAATGAGGTGAATCGGGGAATGAAGTATGATCGAACCCAATCAAAATTTGTTTCGGTCCAAAAAGGTAAACGAAGAGATAGTCTAACTCAATTTTATTTTATTTTAAAATCTCAGCTTTTATGATGAGTTACAAAAACATGAAATATAATTACGACAACCTGTTGAAAGATGGTATGTTAGAATTAAACACTTAGAAACAAGAATCCTAATCTTAGGATGACTCATCCTTTAATTCCAGTGCATATAATGTCTAACACAAGAGCTCATGTAAAACATTTGTGTTAGGCTGTTAACGTTTGCAATCAATCAAAGATGAAATTCTAAAACACCTCCAAAACCCATCAACTTCGACCAAAAACAGAGTTTGGTCATTATATTAATTTCAGACTTATTATTGCTCAATTCAAAAGAAGATACGTGTCCCTTCTTATCTATAAGAGAAGTACATTAATAGGCAATTTCTTCATGTAAACAAGAAGAATATAATTCCAACAAGGCTTTTGAATTTTATCAATTAGGTGATAGCTGCCAATTCTAAAGAGACCAACTCAATGTAAAATATGGACTAGGTGATGCATTGAATGGAAGATATGCCACAATACATCTCTAGGTACTGAAAGGGCAAAACTGGCATACTGAGAAAGACGCAAAGTTCAGAAAGGCAAAACATCCACAAAATTGATTGAAAAGTACCCTAAAATTATATAGGTCCAAACTGAAACAATAAGTTCAAGCTAACTCATGTATTCATAAAATTGCCTGAATTCATCTCTTAAATAGCAGCAGCAATTCTTCCAGCAACTTGGTCAAGATCACGCTGGCCATTGGATGTGATTCTCCTTCCACTAGATAAAGAACGAGAATATAATCAGACAGACAAAAATAAGCAGCAGCATCTGAAAAAAATTCACCTCAAATGAGTGAAGGATTTGCATTTTTAATGCAGCTGATAAGTTGAGTTGTGAGCACATCCACTAGCAATTAGGATGTCTCCTTAAGAGCAAAGCGAAGCACTTTATCTTAATTTTCAAAGGAGCCATGTTATTTTCAACGGAAAAGACACTCGCCTCACCGTTTCCTTTTACAAAGAGCTGGCACCCATATAACGATAAATCATAAATATTACTAAGTGGTGACATTCAATATGTGGGACAATAAATATCAGAAAATGGGAGAAAGAACTATAGCTATTCTCCCGAACTATATTTATCTTTACTACCTAAAATAACTTGCCAAAGTCGAGATACCAAACAGGTTTCTAACTAATCAATGGATATAATTCCTACAACCACCATAATATAAGGAAACACATAAAATTCAGCTGCAATTATATTTTACAAAAGGGCTACTTACCCCTTGGGATCAAAGTCAACGATGTTCATGTTCTGCAATTGCTGAAGTATGTTGCGTGCAACTGAACCACTGCTCTTACAGAAATGACGAGGGCGGCTGCCATTCCTCTGGTTACCACCATAGATTCTTCGGAATCCACCAACACCAATACCACCCCTCAAATAGATCTTCCTTGCCATAGAAGCTGCCATACATCAAAATAATAAAGAAGAAATGTTAGAAAGAAGGGTAACTACTATAGATAAGTTCCTTCGTCTGAGAGTGGAAATGAAACCTACCAGCTCTAATGTAGTACCAATCAGGGTCATATGGAGCAAGCTCCTTGAGTTTACCAGTCTTGACGAGATCAGTCCACTCAGGAAGCTCCATCTGCATAAAGCAAAGGTAATAAGCAAGAACAGACAAGCACAATCACCACAATTTTCAATTCAAAGAAATTGCAGCGGTAACATTGGCTGGAAGCCCAGAATTTAACTATAAAGAATATGATATAACTTTTATGCTAGGTCAATAGAGCCAGTTAAAGCAAAATGTCTACTTCACAAAAGAAATAATTTGCAGTAAAATAGTTCAGAATTTTGCTCTTAAATATAGCAAACAATGAACCCATTCAAGATGAACAATCATTTTAACAGCTTAGAATATACAACAACAACAACAAACCCAGTAGTAACAGCTTAGAATATGCAAACCTAAAACAAAAATTGTCCTCTTAGGTATCCCCTTCTCTGCAGACTTAAGCATCTAGATGACGCAGACTCACTCGATCTATGTAATATCAGAGTAAGCAAGTAGCCTAGGATTCAAGTCTCACAGACACCAATACAACAACTGCTACACCTCAAACAAGTGTCGTCAACACCAACGAATTGAATATTTCCATGTACTTGATTCAAGAAAAGATTCAAGCAGTGCTGCAAGCCTAAATAAGTAAACAAAAGTGTCCCATCTCTAACAATTTTAGTTGTTATAGACGTTTCACTCAATCCAAAGTGCACTCAACAAATTTCATTTCAATATCTACTTATACTCTCCAAGAACTAGTTTTTTCTACCTCAATCTTTCAGTAACTATCTAAACAAGACAGACTAAATTAAGCACCCGCGTGCTACAAACAGCACTAAACCAAATGCAAAATCAAAAACGGCTTTATCTAATAAAAATGACTTTTTCCTAATACCAACAGATAGCTACAGAAAACTTTTCCATAACTCTGCATATCATTTGAAGAAGACTGTCAAAAGTAAGTTGGTTCTTTCGTATTTAGCAATTTAATTACAGTCTACCAAATGCTCAACGACGAATTACTTTTAACATGAAACCTATAGCAGTTAGGAATTTCTACACAAAATTTTATACGCCAAAATCAAAGCTAGTAAGCAAAAAACAAATAAGGCGCATAGAAAATTCACGATTATACACAAATTCTACATATTCATGCGGTCACTAAGCGAGCATTGCACATTACAAGAGCCATTATCAATCACTGTACACATAAATGAATGAATCTATATACACAAATACATATATACATTCAACCGCATATACCTTGCCGGAGCGCTTGAGGTGTGCGGCATAAGCCTTCACAAACTCGTGAGGGGAAACATCTTTCACAGTTCTCGCTGCCTCCATCTTCACTTCTGCTGCTGTTGCGGCGCCGATGCAGATCTCTCTTCACGTTGCTCCAGCGAGGGTTTTTTGCAAGAGTAAAGAAGTAAGAGGGATGCTAGGGTTTATAGCTGCGCAATTTGTTGAGTCCCGGTCTATGAATGGGCCCATATAAGCCCATAGAGTTTGGGCTTCACTCAACAAAAGTCCAGGTGTATGCAGCAGAAAATAATAGTTTCTTGTGGTTATGAGATGTAAATATTTTAGCCGTTTCAAAAAATAATAGCCGATAAAATATATGCTATATATATATATATATATGCGCGCGCGCATTATATACTTTATATACTTTTTGGCTTGTGAATATAATTAGATTCGGTCTACTGATCAATTTTGTATTTTGCCTAAATAAATTAAATTAGGAATAAATCAATTTTATGGGTACTTGCTAACTCCAACAAGCATAACATAAGAATAAATCATTTCGTGTTTTTGCATCCACTAATTTATGTGATACTCTTTCTATTTATAAATATTCTAAGAAATGAACACAATTTCATTTCCATACAATTTCATAACTTTCAAGAAATAAAATTCTTTAAAATATTTAAGTTTTAAAATTTGACGCGGATCCTTTATCAAACTATTAATTTCATTATTGTCTTGCTTTCATTAATATAAAACAAATACAACATAAAATGAAACAAATAGAATATATATTTCTCGGCTCGCTTGAATTGTCAGACTTTGAAAGTGAGAGAAAAATTGAAAGTAATTTGGACTACTTTTGGAGTCAAAATTCGTGATTGAAATAGATTTTAAAAGTTTATGTGTCACACATGTATCTAACTTATATATCACATGTTTTTGGCACACGGGTTCACATGGATTTACAGAGAATACATTTAGGATACACAAGTGATACATAGAAGATACATAGTGTGATAATATCTTGTCTTCTTCCATGTTCATCTTCTATTTAGAATTTTCATTCAAATTACCTCAAAACTCCACCAAATCATCTCAAAATTGAAATTCAGTTCCTCTGGATGTGCCTGATCTATCTCAGCGACATTTGCTCAAAACAAATTCTATTTTCGAAAAGCTAAATTTTAAATTCAAGTTTATGTGAACTTCGACTTTCAACGAAGTTCTATAAAAGAAATTATAGAACCAAGATGCGATTTAATACCAATTAGAGTTTCTCCAAATTATGCTCTATTTAAAACGTTCGCAAAGAGTTTAAAGTTTCAAGAAACTACTAACCTATTGCTTTCTTGTCTATTCCGCAGTTACATGTAAAACATGTGGAGGAGCATTTAAAGGTGATCTAATAGTTAATAAAGTAGGCCGAAAATCATAAGCCTGCATATCCAGGAATTCAAGAGGATAGGTGCGCCACTATCTTTAAGATAGACGTTTAGTTTGATTATATAATTAAAACTAGTGAAGTTGGCCGCGCTTCGCACAGCCATGAATAACATCATCATTGAATATTCAAAATGATATTTTTGATTTTCTCTGGAAAAAAATTCATACAACCTGACCGATATTTTACTAATTTAATTTTTTTTCTTTTCTTGTTCACTTAGAGTTATTAGTTTGACTTCAATATACATTCGATCAACGTTTAATAATAACTAAAAAAAAGTAACTAACAGATAAACCATCTTTACAACGTGAGCCAGATTTATTCATATTTTTCGCACAACGACCTTATAGACCGAAGCATCTGGCCAAGATAACAATATGTAAATATTTATAAAATGCCTAATTTTATTTCTCAAAATTATTGGAAACCGATCTTGATCGATCCGAATTCAATTCGACTATCACATTCATTTTTCAAGGGATAATAAATTCTCCAAAACTTTAAAAAGTAAATAATAATATAGACGCTGATCTTAGGTCTATAAAGAGTTGAACTGCAAACAAAAATAAAAAGTTAAAAAAATTAGTTAGTGATCACGCCCAACTCTAGTCCTAAAAAGGGTAAGCGGTCGCTGCAAATATAATCCGGTCTAAAAGTCCGGAATCGAATCCCACAGAGAACTAAGGTTTAGCTATATCTGTTTAATATCACTAAGAAGACAAGTTTGAACAATTTTCTAAATTATAAAGATTGAAATTTATATTTCTAACTAATTAACTAGCATATACTACAAAGCGGTAAAATTATCAACTAACGAGACAAAAGGTTGGAGACTAAATTAAGGAGGTCTAGAGTTATGATTTCCCCAATTGTTGATTTCATTAGTTGTATGTTTCTTATAGCTTTGACTTAGTTGCCTCTATCAATCATGAACTCTCCAGCTATCATAAATCTCTCTCAAGCAATTATGATAATTTACTAGACGCACTCTCTCAAGCTACGCTAGCTAGATTCACATTACAGTTCACTTAGATCGCACCCGAGGTATCGTTATCTCTAATCCAACCTCTAAACCCTCGGTTATGACTCTCGCCTATACTCCGGGAGTGATGTTGTTCAAACAACTACCTAAATATGCACTCTCTCTCAAGCAGATACGTAATAAATAGGAACGGCTAATTGAGGATCCTTTCAATTAACCAAAATCAAAACGTAGTTGAACAAATAGAGATTAACAACTAACTCAAAACTATATTAATATAACAACCAATTCATCCCCAAAAGGTTCCATCAAAACCCTAGATAACAAATTAGATATTCATAATAGTATGTAAAACTACAATACTAAAAGTCATAACCAACAATGAAAAATAGGAAGAGGAAGGAAAAAAACTCGTAGAAGAATTCTCCGCCTTGCTCCCAATGTGTTCTTGCCTCCAAGGGTGTTGTCTACCCCTCAAGTAGTGTCTCTGCCTCCTTAGGTCTAATTTATGTCCAAAATATGTCCCCCTCACTTCAAAATAGGTTTAGGACCCCTTTTATACAAGTTGGAATAGTGTAGGGCCCAAATAACCTTGTCCCGGACGAAATAGGACTTCTTATTGACGCCTGGAGCGGCGTGGCCGCGGCCAGATAAGCTCTCTGATTTTCTGCCGCGGTCAGTTCCGCGGTCTCGGTTTCTACCGCGTGTTTAACCCTGTTCCATTTGGAATTTGGAAAAACGTAAAACATGAAAGTTGTAGCCCTTTGAGTTAGCTTTCCAACCATATATTGTGGAGCCCAAATGGAGTTCTGAGAAAAAAGTTATGTGCATTTTACTAGACAGTGCGCAATATGCCTACTCGAGTCTTCGTTTGTTCTCAACTATCAAATTTGACCCCCGAACACGATCCCGGCTTAATTCGTTGAGCTTTTACTCAGACTTCAAAGCTTCAAATCACATAAATTCATTCCATAACATCTATATAGCTCGGAATCACACCTACAAGGCATAAAACACACAATTAGTGCAAAACACTAGCGATTAAAGTGCAAACTCAACTAAAGTGCAGTAAATTAGAGTGTAATAAGCGACTAAAATACGTAATTATAGCCTATTATCAGTTAGCTATAACAATGAAGAAATTAATTAATAAGTGAGATCGAAAGACAAAATAAGAATGTAACATATTAAGGTTAGAGAAATTAAATAGAAAAGCGCAAAAGCACTCAATTAAACTAAATTCTATATATCTTTTTTCATTATTGTAATTTTTGCTATACGTGTTTTCTTTCCTTTTCCCTTTAGTTTTCCCTTCTCTCTCTTCCTTCCTTCCTTTCTCACTTCCCTATAGATCATGAGAACTCGAAAAAAAAAAGATGTATAGAGAAATTAAATGGAAATGAAGGAAAAAGAAGAGGAAGAGAGGATTAAGGTAGTGACCCTTGATTTTTCTAATAGAGGCTGCTAGAAATGTATGATAAATCTTTAATGAGTAATCAATATTAGACTTATTCTTTAACATCGAGATTGATTGTTAGAATTTGTATAGTAAATAATTTCTTTTAAGTCATTTCCTCAAAATATAAAATTACTTTTTACATTTTATATTAAGTGAAATTCATATAAAGTCCATGGCCGTCAAATATAGTTTCAAATTTTAGTAAATATTTTTATTTAAAAATAAAATCATTTTTCAGCAACCAAACACTTCGAGACGAATATATCAGGAACGGAGAAGGGTCAAATATACCCTTATACTATTGAAAAAGGTTTAATATTACCCTCCGTTATACTATTAGTCCAAATATATCCCTAACGTTATACTATCGGTCCAAATATATCCCTGACATCATGAAAGTGGTACAAACCTACCTTTCCTCCGTTAACTGTCTCCCCTATGAACACATTTGATTGCTACCTCACCATTTCACCCTGTTTGTAGCTACCAAGTTTAATTACTTTGAAGTTCTATCATTATTTTGAGGACTTCACTGCCTATACTTCCTCTTGCTTTTTAAAATACCTGTTGCTTCTCCGTCCGACCCTGGAATTGTACGTACCTTTCACTTGACCTTACAATTTTGTATTTTATTTTGCATTTCCTTGTGTTGCTGCTGAATTTTTAAGACCTATTTAGGAAAAATTTAGTAGCACTTTTATTTTAACATAAAACGTAAAGAGAGAAAAAATGGCAGCCTTCCAGAAATGTGGTTGAAGAGAAAGAAACAAAAAAATTAACTCTCATGTCTGGGTTATTTTTCTTTCTCACCGTGGTCAATTTTGAAACCTTAAACTAGTTTGCCTGTATCTTTGCTTAGTTTTTTTATATAAAACAAAATGTATTTTCGTTCGTATAAGCATGAATTTTGAATAGCAAAATCAGAATTTTCTCGGTTCACATTGTTTCATATTATCTTTAGTTGTTAGCATTTCTTTTGAATATAGTTTGCTTGTATATCTATGGTCTGTGATTTCTCTTCAAATGAATGGGAAAGAAAGGTTGTGGGGAAGGGATGAAAATGGGAGTATAATGGTGAGGTGGCAATGAAATGTTGTCATATGGAGGCAGTTAACGGGGGAAGGGTAGGTTTGTACCATTTTTATGATGTCAGGGATATATTTGGACCGATAGTATGACGTTAGGGCTATATTTGGACTGATAGTATAACGGGGGTCAATATTAGACCTTTTTCAATAGTATAGGGACATATTTGACCCCTTTCTGTATCAGGAATGGGCAATCTGCTTAATGCTAGTCACAAAGGGAGGGCAATGA